AATCCTTCCCGTATTATACTCTTTTCGTATGAGTTTTCTTGAAAGGCGCCACCACCTCCACGCCCGATGATATATCGACGCGATTATCGTTTTCATCATATTTTCCCCGTGGTGGCTGATATTCAATGTGTTCTAAGTTTTGCCGATGGGGTTTTCGCTAGATGATCGCGCCCGTGAGGCCGGATCTAATAGCTAATAAGCAATTGGCGGATCCGGCTGATTGCGGTGGTGCGGTCCGTGGATGGGCTCGGTGGGCCTATGGGTGGGCTCGTCTGGGCTTAGTCCACGGGTTTTCATTTTTTTTATTTTATTAACAAAGGCGGGCATTTGAACCGCCTCGGTATATCACTGATTTACTGTGACCTCTCGTCCGAGACAATTGCAAAAAGGGGCTATTGCGTTCGTTTGTCAGTATTTTGAACACATCCGCATTGTGATTTTACTCTCATTTTCTTTCACTTTGTGTGTTTTTACCCTATTTTTCCAAAACCTAGAATGATGCTCTTCCATTTACAGTGCCCTACTCTTGCTAGAGAGTGAAGCGTCAGAAAAAGTAATATTCTGGTGTAAGAAAAAAGTTGAAAAATGTTCCTAACAAGTTTGCCCTTTCGAATATTGCTTTTTGCCCTATTTCAAATGGCGTATCCAATTGGTAATTTGTGATTTTTAATTCTTTACTTCCACTTTGTTACAAATTTTACCCTACTTTTCCAAATGATGCGAAGGCTATTTCGTGTTTAAACCTCGGAATCAATTCACTTAACTCAATTATGATGTCCGGATCAAACCAATTAAAATTAATAAAAGCCCTGTGAAAAGACAAACTTGCCCCTTATCTCTCCGTCTCTCTCTCGGGGTTGTCCCTCTCTCAGCTACGAAGTTAATGAATAATAACGAGAAATGATGCGCTATTCAAGGGCATGAAGTGTGGTAACACAGTAAGGGTTACAAGCTGTAATTTTGTACCTTGATTTAAAAAAAGGGTGAAATTGCATACAAGACACCAATGTGCTTACATTATACTAGCAACTGAGACATCACGGTGTATATAGATAGCGTGGTGTTTGGGAATGGGCCTCGGGAGGCGGGAAAGGAATTTCAAGCTGCCTCGATTAATGCCGGAGGCTTGAGGCGAGTTTATTAAAGGCGGGCAGCGGAGGAAGCTAAAATCTATTAGCGCGGCAGTGCAGCTGTATTAGCTTAGCGTTGCAACCCGGCTGATTGGAGCCAGTCATGAGGCAGCCTCTCTCTGGCGTGCTGGCTCTCCATCTGGTATGGCGTGGCCACCGCGCCCCTCTCCCCCTGGCGGCCAGGCTGGGTCACACCATGGTCGGTTGCTTTCCAGACGCTGCTGCGCAGCCTGCGCGGCCCCTCGCGCAGCAAACAAAGGCAGCGCTGCCGCCGTGGTGAGCCAGCCATGTGGCTGCGTCTGCGCCAGCGCGCGGCGCGCTGCGGCTAAAGTCATCGCGCCACGTCGGCTCAGCAGCGCACTTCCTCCTCAAAGCGTGGCTGCAAGGCTTCTCCGCTCTCCGCTCTCGCGCACATCAAGACGCGCGCGCCGTCACGCCCCGCCGGCGACGACTCGCCGCCCGCGGTGGTGCGATCGTGGATGGGCTCGGTGGGCTATGGGTGGGCATTTTGCCACCATTTTATTAACAAAAGCGGGCATTTGAACCGCCTCGGTATATCAACGATTCTTGTGCTCTAGTCAGACAATTGCAAAAAAGGGCTATTGCTAGTGTTGAGAGGGGCGATTTTACCCTCATTTTCTTTCACAGAGAGAGCGAGAGATAAGGGGTAAGTTTGTCTTTCACAGGCTTTTGTTAATTTTTAATTGGTTTGATCCGGATGTAGATAAATCGAGTTAAGAATTGGGGTAAACTGAATTTTCGCTTTTAGAAAAGTAGAGGTAAAACATAAAGTGGAAGAAAGTGGGGTAAAATCACAATTGGGGTTTGAAAATAGGGCAAAAAACGTAATATTGGGAAGGCAAACTTGTCATCCGTCAACTTTTTTAACACCGCTATTCATTGCTCACTTGAGTAGGGGTAAACGAAGCCTTCGTTTTGGAAAAGCAGGGGTAAAAACACAAAGTGGAAGAAAATGGGGGTAAAATCACAATTGGGGTTCAAAATAGGGGCAAGAAAGCAATAGCCCCTTGCAAAAACCGCCTCGGTTAACCATTTTTACCCGCCACAATTAAAATTCCTGTAGTAGTGTTTGTCCCATGAATATCACTGGGGAGTACATTTAAAGAGTTGATCTTGAAAAGCCATACCCCCACTTTCTGAATATTTTTATTTTTTGTTTTTATTTTCTCTTTTTTCTATTTCGAAAACTTTATCGGTTTTTTTTCAAAATATTTTTTTCTTTCTATTAGTTCATTATGTGAAAAGTCAAATTGTCCTTGGTTCCACTTTGCTTTCTGCAAGCTTCGTCATAGGGTGCTGAACTGCTGATACGCATTAAACATTATTTGCACCCAACGGGCAAAAGACTGAATACCTTATTAGAGCATTAATAAATTGGCGTTAGGGTAGTCATGCTGGCCACACAGAGCTCACTACTGAGACGCACGGTGGCTGCATACCTTCGTAGTAGTATCTGGCATCTCAACTACCGCTGGTGGTGCATGGATGCATAGAAATATTAACAAACACTGAACCTAAACGCAATCTGGATATGTAAAATAAATGACGTCTCTAGCTATCCAGCTTGTCATTCTACAGTTAGATTATTGCGTAAATTGCTCTGGTTGGGGCTGTGAATTTGAAAATGAAATAGCAGTTTCTCTGAATCCCTGAAAACATTGGACTAAAGATTTCAATATTACTACTCAGTTTGCTCTTCCATTCTCCCTAGTCAAACAGAAGTATAAACCCATTACTAATGATGCAGTCATATCTTATCCAGGATACTCACCGAAAATTTATTATCCAAACAAGAAAAGCTCAAGAAACTGAATCCATTGTCCATTGGTTTTTATAAACAGACGACAGAATTCAGCACCACACAGCTTATAGTATACTAGTAATTAACAGTTTACACAAATCCATGAGCATTAACAAGCCTAAGGGCCTAGGCACGTGGCGCTATTTCGTAGGCTATCATGAGCCCACACAGCTCAATCAAAGAGTTGGCATAAGCGTGCTTCCGCTTAGGATAAACTAAAAAGAAGCCTCATCAGCTATTAGCCTATTATTAGTTGATTAGTTATGCAGCCTCTCCTCTGCATGAACTCCCTACGGCCAGCCAGTACTCTGCGCGTACTGTCACAGCTTGTCAGCTGCGACCCGTGAGCAAATGTGGAAACCCCGAAATGCCCTTGCACCAGAGTGTACCAGTTGTCCAGTTTCCAGAGTTCTTTCCTCTTTTGATGCACGTTCGTTTGGCTGATAAGACATGACTGAAAATACTATTAACTGATTTGTTGTGAGAGAAAAATACTATTCATTATCTAAAAAAGTACGGCTTATAAACCAAGTGAATAGGGCGTAAGAATTTGGGGTCCCTTTGAAGTTTTCTCAGCACAACTGGGAGTTGCATGTTGCAAGGGCTGAATGGCGAACGCAAATTGGCATGAAGAAGAAAGCGACGCCTCCTTCCGTTCCGTGCATCAGCCTGTTCGGTCGGCTGGTTCGTTTCGTTGCTGGTTCGTGAAATAGTACTACTGGTTGGTTTGTGTGAGAGAAAAATATTGTTCCGACTGAAAATTTACGATCGTCTACGACGAGCCAAAGCCAAACGATATAAAGGGAATAAAAATCCAAATTGCGGAAAACAAATATAATTGCCTCGACAGGATTTCCCATTCATTCTTCCTCTATGTTGTTTACCAAATCTTGGATGCCAGGGAGGGGACGAGTGCGACGAAGACGACGAGGTAAAAGACGGCACTAATTGCCCCTTTGCGTTGGCAATCCGCAGGGGTCCCCGGCGCACGCAGACCGCCCGGTCATGATCGGCGGCCCTCCCCTTTCGCCTTTGGCGTCCGTAATGTCGCCATGATTCTGACGACCGGCATGCTTGGCATCACTTTGTGTCAGGCCTCAGAGAGGAGGCCCGCGCGACATGGCCCCCGCTGCCTCATGGGGGGCTTCTTTTCTTTTTCCTGTAGCACTAGCAGTCTGTAGAGACTAGAGCGGCAGCGCGTCCGTCGACCGTCGTCCAGCTCCAGGCCCCCTGCCGGGCCCGAAAGCCAGCTCGGGCAGAGCGCCCGTGGCTATTCTACTGCACTGCTGACACTGCGTCGTCAATGCCGTGCTTGATTACCGATGACAGTCACAGTCGCAGGTCGTCGTCTGATTAGCTCGGTGTAACAGTGCTGATCATGGCAGAAGGCATGGAGTACTGTGACTGTGAGCCATTGGAATCCCATGGTTCGTGCGCTGTTTAAGGAGACAAATTGTGCTCTTGATCAGCCATCAGCGTGCTTAACCGCGGTGCTTTTGTGTAACGGAGCCCATGATCGTCTGTCGGCAGAGTGTGAGCCAGCCCCGGCCTGTCGCTTTGCGACTGCTAATTGTGTCAGCCTGTCAGATAATGTAGTACTGCAGACGCAGACTAATGGCAGAGTGTGTTGGATCTGAGCCTACTCCTGCCGATGCTAGTACACGTTTCAAAGAAAATTTTGGCGGGTGGACACAGGGAGTACTCGTGGATAAGCAGAGCGCGCGCGCAGGGAGGGGAGGGGCATCATCGGCATCGAGAAAAGCGAGGGAATCGCACGCTTCCTTTCCTTCCAGCGTAAAGTAGGGGCCGGGCGTACCTCATCGCCGTCATCGTGGGCCTCCGCTCGCCACGGCAACTACTTCTGCTGCAGCAGCTGCTGCTCATTCCATTCCATTCCCTGCGCTCACCGCTCGCTCGCCCTGCCGGCCACTCCCGCCGCGTGCTGCCTGCCCTGTCCGCCACTGCGCGAGCACAACCGCGTGCACCGGCCGGCCACCACCCGCCCACCGCACCACCGGCGCCGGTCGGTCCGGTCGGTCCATGCCAGGATGGATACCCCGTCGTCGACGTGCGACGAGGGCTCCGAGCTCGACGCGCGCTCGCAGTCCGACTACGCCGACTTCGACGACCTGGACCGCCCGCCGCGGGGCCGACACCGCCGGGAGCCGTCCTCCGACGTGTCCTCCGAGTGCAGCGGGGAGCCCGGGAGCCCCTACGGCCCCTCGCCGTACCCGCGCTGGCCGTTGTGCACGCTTGCCACGAGGGCGCCACCGCCGGCCGCAGCGCTGCTCAAGAGGCTCAGCACCACGCGGCGCGGCGGCGGCGGTGGCGGTGCCGGCGGGCGTGACGGGAAGCCCGGCGACGGTGGTAGGACCCTGTTTTCTGTGAATGTCTTCTGGTTCCAAGTTTTGGTGTTCGGTGAGGTGACGCGAAAAAATGCTGTGAATTCGCAGAGCTTCAGCTGATCAAGGAGAGGTTCTCCAAGCTTCTCTTGGGCGAGGACATGTCGGGGAGCGGCAAGGGGGTCTCGACCTCCGTGGCCATCTCCAACGCCATCACCAACCTCTATGGTCAGCGTGCTTACACTTGTTCCAACTTCCCAAGATCAAATCTTCAGCACGCCTAGGCTAATGCAGTAATGCTAATGCTCGTCGCCTCCTCTGCTTACAGCGACTGTCTTTGGGAGCTGCCACAGGCTGGAGCCCCTGCCGCCGGAGAAGAAGTCCATGTGGCGGCGGGAGATGGACTGCCTCCTCTCCGTCTGCGACTACATCGTCGAGTTCTTCCCTTCCAAGGAGATCTTGCACGACGGCACCACCCGAGAGGTGACAACTGAATCACCATGGGCTGATTGTCTGAAGCATTTTGATTCTGTCCAGCCATTGGGTCACTGACGCATTTTGATTCTGTCAGGTGATGGCGACCAGACCGCGATCCGACATCTACGTCAACCTCCCCGCCCTCGAGAAACTCGACGACATGTTGCTTGTAAGATCAAAGATCCTTCGTACATTGCCATTACATGAAATTGAGCCATAAAAGTTGTTGCTTGCTCAAATTTAGTGGCTAAACTGTTCTTCTGCGCCTTCACAGGAGATTCTGGACAGCTTTCAGAAGACTGAATTCTGGTACGTCAATGACAAGGGGCAGAAAGATGATTCCGTCACGACGCCGTGCCGTCCAGTGAGCCACCGCGGCGAGGAGAAGTGGTGGCTGCCCGTGCCGTGCGTCACCAAGCCCGGGCTGACGGAGACGGCGCGGCGAGACCTGCAGCAGAAGCGCGACTGCGCGAGCCAGATCCACAAGGCGGCCATGGCCATCAACAATGCCGTTCTTGCGGATATACGGATCCCCGACCTGTACAAGCAAGCACTACCCAAGGTACCATCAAACAAATCATTGGATCTCAAGAATTTCGAGTCATCAGCATCGCTGAATCTGAAGACGTATTCTCTAATTCTGAATTCTGATTTCAGTGCGGGCGGGCCAGCGTGGGGGACCTGATCTACCGGCACATGTCGTTCCCGGGCAAGTTCTCGCCGGAGTACCTCCTGGACTGCCTGGAGATCTCGTCGGAGCACGAGGCCCTGGAGGCGGCAGACCGCGTGGAGGCGGCGATGCACGTGTGGCGGCGGAAGGCGAGCCAGAGTCACTCGAGGTCACCATGGAGCGCGGTCAAGGACCTGATGGAGTCCGACAAGAACGTGATGCTGGCGAGCCGCGCCGAGGACGTGCTGCTCTGCCTCAAGCAGCGGTTCCCTGGCCTCTCGCAGACCACGCTCGACGCCAGCAAGATCCAGTACAACAAGGTGAGCAAACCTCAATGATGCAGCAGCATCTGCATCGCCATGGGTGCGAGCTTGAAGTTTCTCATAGAGCTTGTGATGTGAATGAATCTGCAGGATGTTGGGCAAGCAATACTAGAGAGCTATTCGAGGGTGCTGGAGAGCCTGGCGTACAACGTCGTAACCTGTACAGATGATGTTCTCTTCGCAGATGAAGCCGCCAAAAAGATAGCATGAGTGATCATTTGTTCATCCTTCCTGCCTGATCCGGAAACCAAAAATAAGGGGTCCATATCCATGATCCATCCACGGAATGTACATTATGCCATAACTTGTAGCAGTAGTACCATCTATCAATGGATGATAGCACGAGCAGTTAAATACAGTACTCTACTCACCTAGGCAGCCATGTCTTGGTTTTCATCACAATGGTCCCTCAGTGCCTTTGCATCCTCTTTCCTCTGTCATCACCAATTCACCATGGATGTCAGATGCCACAGCTGTGTGATTGGCTGATTGCAGTATCAGCTCAACTGAAGTAGTAGTGTCTTGTGAATCTTTTGATACAGGGCATGGGCATGTCATGACCGAGTGACCGGCACAAGTTCATAGCTGATATATTCACAAAATGTTTCAAGTAATTCTTGAATAGAGAAGCAATAGTGTATCTCATAAACAAAGGAAAACAATATTATGCTCACAATGAAAACAAAAGATTTACCATAAATACTGGGGCACTTTATATACAGCTGCACTTATTTTGATGTTTCCATACCTCTACAGAGAACAAAAGGAGCTTAAAGAAATCGAACAATTCTGAGGTTAAGATCAACACTCAATCAGGATCTGACTCACGATAGGCACAAATTCAAAAGAAAATGGAAATCAACTATATTGATGAACTGCCTAACTCTACAATATTTGGCAACTGCCGAACTCACTTTTCCCTATCCTTACACAAAAGGTTTCTGTATCTATTAACCCCATGTCAGTGCTAGTCGAATATGCCTGCATGGATTACTACAAAGCACTACAGTATCAAAGCCACAGATCAAAAACCACTTCCTCTAGTAAGTCATAAAGCAAACCATCCCACAACTCAACTACAACACTTTCAGTATCACCTCGAAGATCCAGCCACGACCCACTGTCCAAGTCTTTCATCATCACCTGTTCTAAAGTGTTTGAAAATTCTTTACCGACAAGAGAATCGATTCCCCTAGCCACCTCTTGAACGAGCTGTCTTCCTACTGGAGCTGGTCGTACATTGTGTTTCAGAAAGTTAACCCAAGGGTCGGTACCAAAGAACTTGTCCCTTATCTTGAGAAGAACTTCTTCCACACAGTCAAACAAAAGCACTGCATCGTCTGTCAGGCAGTACGAATTTCCTACTTCAGCCAATACAGATACATCAAGCAGTGGCTCTTCTGTGTACCATCTCTGCGAATTTTCCTCGGACAGCAATTCTGAAGCTTCTAGCGCAGCCTTGATGAAGGACACCCTTGTGGCTTTGTCATCCAAAATGGCTACTTGTGGTCCATTCCACAAAGTTAGGGATGTTGAAGGAGCGTCAACCTCTTTGAACAGCACTCTGGAAGTAGGCATGGAGAATTCATCTGCAACAACATAAAGTTTTGCTCTATTATGTTCAGGTTATGAAAGGCACCAGATGAGAAATTTTTTGTTTTGAGTAATACCTCGATTTGGAGTTTTGTGTCTAGGATTGGTAACTTCTCCTATAATGGGATCAAGAACAGATTGTGGACTCAATTTCTCCTCTTTGTCATTAGTATTTTCCGGCGAGTATGGAAATGTCAATACAGATGGTTTGACTAATTCAACAACTTCTGATGGAATATGGTTTTCTTGTTCATTAACGGAGCCATCTGGAGAATACAGGGCCAGTTCTGGTGACAAATTCATGAATTTTGGTTCCTCCATTGAACACTTCAGCGGAGGAGGCAAAAGGAAAAAAAAAAAAAACAGTGTTAAACACAGATGTCATCAGCTTTCTTGAATTTGCTACAAAGTATGTCTTACTTCATCTGGATTTGTCTCTCCCACTCCTTCCTGCGAAGTTCCAGTCTCAGCACAGAGAGGTGAGTTCTCCATTGTATCTGGCATGATCTTAACCCCTGCGAAAAAAATGAATATTTTGAACAGAACAAGAAAGCTGAAAAAAATAAATACCTAATAGAAGCATATCTTACAGTACAATTTTTTAGATTAGAATAAAACATTCTGGCCTCCAACTATCTTACAGTACAATAACATGAACAAATTACCTTCACGGATTAACTCCTGTGAGATAGCGCCCTCATTTTGTTGATGACTACCATGATCTATCGTGGGCTCAATCAACATTTCTGTACCTAAGTTGCTAGTGTTGGCTGATTCTGACTCCTGGTACAGCCTTGTTGAGTAAGGGCTTGCTGAACCATCCTCTTGCTCAATAGTATTCAAGTTCAACGATTCTGTAGCTTCATGTGCCATGCTAATTTTCTCCTCTTGAGGGCAATCACTTGGAGAAAATCTATCATTCTCGGGCAGTGAAATTAATCTCTCAAAAGATTCAGATTTCTGTACAATTTGATAACTTTCTTCGCCTTGATCATTTAATCTCTCAATTATATACATGTTAGCTTTTTCATAGGAGAAAGAGCTGACACCGACACCATGAGCGACATCATTTCTCATCCCACTTACACTATCTTCCGTGACTGTTTTCTTGTCAACAATAGATGGTTCCTTAGCCCTGTCAGAAGAATCTGTACTTGCCAGACTCTCCGTCTCCGACATACTTGCGACTGGAAGCAGTTTGCCAGAATCAGCCTCAGCTTTATGAAAATTACTACTCGTGGAGTTTAACTGGTGATCCTTCCGATTATCGCTAATAGCAAGCCTTAGCCTCCTTTTAAGCTCTCTAAGTGAGAAATGACAATCAGGTTTATCACTGGCTTCTTGAACTTGCAAATCAATATGATTTGATAGTGGTGACGAAGTTGCGCTACCTGAGATAAGAGTGCTATGACCTCTTGTAGGACTTGGCTTCAAGATTACTATTCTGCTAAGACCACGAGAACTATCATTTAACTCTGGTGGTTTCCTCATGACCAACCTATCCTCCTTCAAGAAAGAATTATGCCTTCTTTGAACCTTACTTGGAGAAGTCACTGACTGCTCTAGACTATTTGCCATACCTTGCAACTCAGTTTCTTCGTCATATTCTTCACAGTCTAACTTACTTCCTAGTGACATGTAAAGGTTTTGGAGACATTCTAACAACCTAGAGCTTGGGTCTTGCATAAGCATCAGAAATAATTCCTTGTCTGAGCTCAGTAGCTGTAGGGCATCAACCAATTCTCTGGACCTAGTTTCATCACCGCTGTTTATGTATTTTTTTTTTGCAGATTGATGTCTTATAACTGCTTCAGCAACATCTTCTAGAGCTCTCTGGATACTAGATGGGATCTGATAGAGATGATCAGGAGGGTCAGTATTGTTCTCTTTGTCAGTCGAAATGGAACGGCGACCTGACTCGATTGAATTCCTGATTTCTTGTCCTTCAGTACGAGACCTGTAGATTTCCATTAGACTTGCAGCCAAGTTTAGATCAATATCTTCAGAGCATATCCCAGTTACATTGCTTTGTGCTTGCTTCAAGGGCTGTGTGTTGCTGGACATCTCTTCTTCCATCAAAGTTCTAATACTTGATCTACCAGCATAAATCAATTCAACCCTGTGGTCTTTTCCATTCTGAGAAAAAAAACAATAAATTCGAGTTTATATTGCTGCACTCATCAGCTCAAACAAAGGTTTGAAAAGCTTATGTTATCTTGCATGCCATACTCAAATATTATGTAGCATCATAACTTTATTACTTCATATTTGGCATTAAAAACTTTCCAATTCTACTTAATTTTTTCGTAGAGAGGTGTCTTCAATTTGAAAAGCCTATAGAAAAAATCCTAAACTTCCATATCCGGATACTCGTAGTACTATTTTTTTCTTGAATGTGTTGCGAATCATTGCATTAAGGAGGAGGCTTGTAATACTATATACTGTTATTTACTAGGAATATTTGTGTTTTAGGAAAATACATATCAATTGTTTTATAAATCACAGTTCAGAATCAACAGAACAGTTAGTGTTGGTCAACATTATCTAAAAATGTTAGCCTAAGACAAAATTATGCTGACAGAAGCACACATTATACCAGTCTGAGCTTTGTAGTACAAGCAGCAGCATGACCAGCTTTATAAATGGAAAAAGGTTTTCAGCTCATTACATGCCCTAGAAGGTTAGATATGTAATGAGCTTGCAACTTCTTTTTCATTATCAGTTGTTAGTTGAGTGAGCAGAAGAATTTTGTAGGTACTATAAGAAATACTAGATACAATAGTTTTGGTTTCATCTTGAAAACTTACAATAGCAGATTTGTTTCCTGGACATCTTCAAAACCTTTTGGATCTCTTTTGACTGCATGAAGCACAGAAATCACTGTTAGAGAAATCATGAATCTCATATTATTTCAATTAAAATTAGCTCATACTGCTATATTGCAGTTAACATCTTCATCTTGTTCACATAAAAACTGAATGTTGGTGAATGCCCTCACCTGTCCCATCTGAAAGAAGTTTTGGACTGCGACGGAAGTCAAGCATGCGAATCAGCCCAGACATACAGCCCACCTGGATTTTCTCAGATTTGGAATGCTGTTTGTAACTCTTCTTTGCCATGATAGCTGAGAACATGGTCAGATAACTTTCCTTCTAAGGGCTTGCTTTAGACAAGCTTATAATCTGAAAGCAAGATGCATGAAGCGAGTAAGAATAAAGTTGTAGTAGTATGAACGATGCAAAATTAGAAATACAGACGCAAAAAAGTTTCCCAATTTCTGCACTAACAAGTTCATATTTGCTCATATCTTCCAAGCTCCAATGAATGGTTTCAAACTCTAGTTTCATAAAGTACAGTTGTCTATGAAGAAAACAAACATGGAAGAGACAAGAAAACCAGTTGGACCCCACTTATGCAAATGCTAATTTGGACATACTCATGTCACATGCATTTTTTGTACTTAAAGTACGTTCTACCCGCATGATTTTCCTTTGTGTAAACATATGAGACAAGATGTCATAAGAACTGTAAACACCAACTAAAATTTGATAAATGGAACAATTCGGAGCATCCAAAGGGACCAATTTGATGAAAAATCTTTACCCCTCGAATTCCTGTTGCACTAAAAAAATCTGCAATACGCAGAGAACTGATAAGAACAAATTTCAGTGTATCATTGACAAAGTAAAATATCGACCATTCAAATGAATGAATCGTCCAAATTGGCGAGCACCTTTTACCAGTACTTGATCAGAGAACTCACCAAGAATAACAGCAGAGGCGGTCCTGCTACACTTCACAGACAGTGCCCAAAACGCCAAAAACCACCAAAGGAAGATTTGGTTTCAGAGATTACTCAATCCAATCTTTGAGTCTTCAGAACAAAAAAAAAATCAGGCAGGAACAGGTTAGGATGTTCTGATAGCCCCAAGCAAACGAAGGACCATGAAATTGCCGTGCTTCCTCGGTTTACACGAGATGCCGATACCAAGTCGGAAACAAAGAAACTCTGAAGCGGCAGGAAGGGATATCTCAAAAGGATCAGAACACGCAAAAGAAAGGAAGCGGAATTTTTTTCTTCCTTTATTTTATTCCAGCTAGTCGTCTTCACCAAAATAAACACGCAGAGCACACAACCTCTCTACCTTCGTTCTTCAGCAACTACAGAATCTGATGAGCAAGACAGACCCCTGCCTCAGAACAATCTCAGAATTCAGAACCCAAAACCAAGGAAAACCGACGAGAAACACACTTTTTCCCCTTCTGGTCCTCTGGTTCTTCACAGGAACCCCTCAAAACACTGAGGCCAGCGCGAAGATCAAATTTTCGGCCTTCAAAACTGAGAATGAACCCAATAAATAAATAGCAAACCAGCGGATACTCACAGCCAAAAAACAAGCCTTTTTTTACAGAACCATATGAATGCAACTGAATCGTAGTTGCCCTTTCCGATCCTCCCTTCCTTGAAATCCTTCATTCAAGACGCGGAAGCAGAACCATGCCCGGCAACAGCGCATGCAGCGCTCCTCGCCGACGGAGGCTTTGCCACTGTGGCCGCGCCAACCTCTGCCGCTGCCCGGCTGCCGCTACCTTGTCTCTCTCATTCTCGGCATTCGCGACTCCTCTCTAATGGCGGAGCGAATGGAGAAGGTAGGAATGTAGGATTTGGAGGGTGGCCTGGCCTGTACTTTTGGTTTTGTAGATTATATTGCGGGGAGGGGATTCGGATTTATCTTTTGTCTCTATTGTGGCCTCCGCCTCTTTTTCGAAGGCTCTGTTGCTAAAAATTTTCATCTAAAGTGTTATATCGAATCTTACGACACATGTATGGAGTATTAAATATAGACAAAAAAAAACTAATTATACAGTTGGTGAGAAATCGTAAGACAAAACTTTCAAACCTAATTAATCCATAATTAAACACTAATTACTAAATACAAACAAAAATACTACACTAACCAAAACAAAAAAAATCACCAACTAAACACGCCCTAAGTCAACAGGTGCGCGATCAAGATCAAGCTCAACACATAGTGGCTGCCAACAAAAAATGGGAGATGAGAACAAGAACGGACAGCGCTATGTTATTCGCTCGGCAAATCGACATATATACAATACAACCTTGAAAATTTTACAATTAATTAATGCTTGTGCCAGTTGGGTGGCCTGAATTGGAAATACAGATAAAAAGGATCTCTTGATTTTTAGAATATTTTTAAAAGCCTCAAGAAAAATAAAATGGATATACTGATATCTTCTTTTCCAAGTATAATAATGTAAACGTGCATAGAAACCGCCACGTGTGCACGAGGGAGATGGTGTGTCACGAACACTCAGCTGAATACTCCATGTATGCAAAATAGATTGAGTATCCAAATCAATCTCAAGTTCTGATGACAGTGCATTGGTGCTAGTTTCTAGAGGATTATTAAGTTGGAATATAAGATTGCTTTGAATTTTTATTTGACATTGTTTCTTCTGTTGGAAGATAAATTTTTCAAGTGCAATGTCCTTCTAGCATTGTCCTTCTAGCATTAATTATACTTCTCTTGTTTGGATACAGAAAGCAAGATTGAAATAGTTAGGGCAAACGTTTCTCTTTTTTTAACTTTCAGATCGTTTCGGCTGCCTCCATTGAATTGCGACCGCCAGGGCTGCAGCTCGTGTGGCCAGACTCTGAATATGGTGCCTGACAATTGGTTTACCAGAAGTGAAAAGGATTGCAAGACACCACAAAGAAGCGCAGCAGTATTTTTTTAGGCTAAAATGCTTGATACACTTCATTATTCATGGAACAATTTCTAATCAACCCGGCAGAAGAATAAAGGGCGAATTAATTGCGATATGCCCTATGTTACTCGGTACATATATAGTAGTGCACGCGCTGATCCACCGAAACAGCATGTTCGTAAGTAGGTTTAAGTTAGAACTTATCAGCTATGATATAGTATTTTTCTTTCACAATAAACTAGCGCTAGCTGAATTTATCATTCCAGAAACCAACCAGCGAACTGGCTGAAAGCCAACAGCTAGCAACAGTCGTCGGTCGTCGTCAAATTCTTTAATTAAATGCCAGGATCGATGTGACAAACCAACTAATTGAAAACATTCGCCAGAAATCAGTTGGATTAGGATGCATAACAAACCATTAAACAATTCCCCTGGTCTTTACGCTTTTCGTCACAAACTAATCTCTGTAATAGTACGGTATCAAAGAATTATACATTATTCTTGAACATTTTCCGATTATAATAATACCTCACCTAGAGAGCAGAGAGATGTTTTATACGCACTTTTCAGCTAGCTTTCTTGGAAGGAACTACGGTCGTTGCAGTATATATGTACGGGCAAGTTACGTAGACGCTACAGTCTCTGAGTACACACATATACGGACATCTTTTTTTTTTTTGGAAAACCACACACATACTGACATACTCCTAGCTAGGGGCCTATGTACCTGACACGTCATTATCTAAAACAAGTACCTGATACGTACAAAATCTGCATGCCGAATATACATCACCCATACACGGCTATACCGCTATACGTAGAATGTATGCAGTCCCAGGTACACGTGGGTGCTTCCAGAGCCGTCCGATCAAGAATCAAGCGACATAGTTTCCTCCAGCATTTGGCCATCAGGTAGGGAAAGGTGCTCATGTATCCCACGTACTTGCGGACGCCGGATCGGAGGGCGACGTCGGCCTTCGGAGCTGTCGGGCGCCGGTCCAAACGTGGGAGAAGTGATCGTTTTCGTCATTTCGTGTGTGTCGGCTGGTGGTTATCCCAACTCTCTCAAGATCAAAAAAAAAAACTCTCAAGATCGAGGTAAGCAGCTTTGTATGGATACATACATATATTCTGTGACATTTCAACCTCCCGTTTCTCAACCGCGTAGTTCGCTTTCATAATTTTGCGACAGATTTAGTCAGCGATGCATGAGTGGCGCATGGAATACTTTTCACACAAATGGATTTTAGAATTGGTGACGATTTATGTGGTAGTAACCGTCCACACGCTTCGTGAAGGGCTAGTTTCAGCTGCTGCTAGTTGAGGTGTCGTATGCAAGTCGTCTGAGAATCAGACAACCAGACCTGAATAAATAACAAAAACAGAAAACAATAAAATACTTCCTTCATCTTAAAAAAAATACAATTCTAACTTTAAATTAGACACGACATGGATGGAGGGAGTAAAAAATATGCATACGAATATATATGGTAAAGGAAATAGCCTGAACAAATAAAGCTAATTAAGATATTCTACCGGCTATGACAAGGATACAGACGCCATGATTCGTGAGCTTCAGTGCAAAGGCACCCGAAATGGTTAAAGCTAGTTAGTTAAGTCAATTTTTTAATAATGCTAATTTTTACTAGTATATAGCAGAGCTTTTAACATAGATAGCCCACGTAATATTCTCACGTTATCTTAAAATGTGTGCAAGAACTTAACTCTTGATTAAAAGCTAGCTTTTCTTCTCTTCTATTAAAATATAAGAAAAATGCTTAGAGTTAGCTTAAAAGCCAATTGTTGAACCTGGTAGCCGCGTCACGTACCACGTCACGTCGCGTTGGTTCCCTCTCGCCGCTGCCGGGAGCGCCATACCATTCGAGCGGCAATTCGGTTGGGATATATTAGCTTGGATAGCGTCTGTGAATTTTTTTTAATTTTAATACTTTTTGTAAACTAATTTTAAATCTAACACTGTTTTTTTTCAAAACTAACACTTTTGGCCGCACCTATTGCTATGGCGCGGCGAAAACGCCTGCGCGCCATGCATCGCGCTGCATGCATGCGCGCCATGCATGCATGGCGGCCTTGGCGGGGAGGATGATGTGGTGACGATCAACGCTGCCACCGATCTTGGGTGGCGATGCGCGCCATCCCTCCTAACGCTGGCGGCAGTCCCAGATAAATATCGCCCGCGAGCCACCCTCCCCTCTCTCGCCCACTTGCCGCCAGCGCGCGCGCCGCCCGCCCCCATGCCACGCACCGCCGCCGCCCGCCGCGCCGCGCCCGCGATGCCCATGCCGCCACTCCACTTCGCCCGTGCCAGAATCCCGGTTGCGCCGCCGCCTTAATTTAACGTAGCGTCATGTCATGCCGACCGCCCGCTCATATCAAGGTAGTT